GAATTCTTTGGTCAAATATATTCAGGAAACACTGATATGATGTGATTTAACAGATTTTTGTTGGTGGTGTCATAGGATTTCTCAGATCTTTTACTCTATTAATATGTCTCATGAATACCCAAGAGGGAGTTATAGTATACAATATTTTCCAATTTGAAGTCACCACAAAACTTTTTCATTTTTCAGGGAACTCTCATCAACATCAGCAACAATAATAGTAATACTAATAATAGTGACAACAGCAAACACTGTATGTGTGGCATTATTCTAAGCACTTCACCTTATTAACTTATTTTTGTCCTCACAGTGCTATGAGTGAAGTACTATTATTAGTTCCATTTCACAGAAGAAAAACTGAGACACAAAGAACTTGCCCAAATCATCAGCTAGGAAGAGGTAGAGCTGGGATTTAAACCAAGTTTGTTGGGCTCTTGAATTCGTTTCCTAACCTCTACNTGATCATTTTGTTCCATATCTCTCTGGTCTTAGACCTAAAAATGCCTCGTGATTGCGTCTACATAATTAATAAAATCTATCAAGCACATTCTTACTAATCTTGCTTATCTAAGCTGAACTGACATCTTACAACATATTAGTCAAAGGGAAAAGTAATTCATCTCTTTGCAACCAATGTTGCTTTAGTAACACATGAAGGATTAGTATATAAAGTAGGGATATCTGAATACCTAATGCAAATAAACTAATCATATTTCTAAGCCGTGATGCTATTCTTAGTATGTCAAGATATTCCTTTAGCTCTTGAATTATTTACGTCTCATGTTTGTTATTTTTATTAGAGTATGTATTGTATTTTGTAGTGTTTGTTTTGTTTTAGCTACTTGGTATTTTGATTTATTACAGGCAGTTGTGAAAATTGTTACTCAAAAAGCATCTCTTGTAGGAGCTTGAATTTAAATGGTTTAAAGTTTTTAATAGATTCTTTAATTTTCAAAGTAGTGTAGATGAATATTCTCCTTTGTTAACAGAGAAACCAGCAGTAAGCTGCATCTCCCAAAATGTTTCTAGGAATACTGTTATCTTGCGATATATTAGTAATTTTTCTTAAATATTTTAAAAGGAATTCTTTGGTCAAATATATTCAGGAAACACTGATATGATGTGATTTAACAGATTTTTGT